TTTGTCTTATCTGTCAGGGTGTTGTTTAATGCTAATCTAATGAAAGGCAGAATCTCAGTGATTGCTCTGGTGCTCGGCGCATGCCTCGCTTCCCCCTGTTGGTCCAAAGCCCAAGCTATTTCTTCCTTTTCTCAGAGCATCCACACACACACACACACACGCACGCACGCACGCACACACACACACACACACACACTTCAGTGACACGACCAAGGATTGGCCAGTGTAGTGTTGATTGCTTCAATAAATCATCCAACCAAATTCTCTCACAGCTAATGCAAATGTAATTTTATTGTTGTGTAACGGCGGGGGAGGAGAGGAGGGCAGAAGGTGGGAATGATATGCAGCCTCTCACCAGGGAAAAGAGGAAAACAGGGACAGACTTTCCTCCGGGCTAAATTACAACGTGTAATTATTTGTGTGTTTGTTCTCCATGTGAGGCAGTGAGAGTGCGCCCATACCCATGATGGATGGCGTTATTTAGTGGAGTTTCTGGGGCCCTCTGGCTCAGGAAGCGCTCAATTTTCACACAGGAAGTGCCTTCATGGCCATCTTGTGACTTTCTCCAGCCTTGCGAGCTCTAACCTGGGAAGATGGAGATGATTTTGATGGATTTTTTCCCCTTTCTCCCTCCTCCTCCCACCCACACCACCTTCATCAGAGATGTGATGCGATACCATCTCTGTGAAATTTTAATTAATTTCCCAAGCTTTGAGATGGAGTGGAGCCAGGGTCGGGGGTCAAGAGGCGAGGGACTGCAGAGCAGTTTTTAATCAGGGATCCTATGAAAGTTGCATTGGCAGCCACTTCAGCTGGGCATTGAGGGGGGGATTGTAAACCGCTGTTTGATGGTGCGTCTTTTCCCGGTGACTACAACAGCGCTCCAATTAAAGGACCATTTTGATCCGACATTAACTGTTGGGGTGGCATGCTGCCTTGTTCTCATCTGTAATATTGATCCTGGTCGTCTCCTGAATACACAAAGTGAGGATTAATGATCACAAACTGTAGTCCTTAAAGAGTGTCAGAAGCCACGTTTCCACTAGAGGAGTTCAGAAGGAGGAGGTGACGGGGAATCACGTTGGTTCAGTCCTCTCAGCTGTTGTCTCCATGCAATATCAGCCCTGTTACTAAAATGTCTTCATATCGCAACACTTTTGGCGTCACCGGTCAACATCAAAAAGTGCCCGTAGACGTTAATAGCTTTAAAACTTTTATTCTGTCAAAGTGCCCTGTAATTAATCCTATCGGGCAATAAGGAGAGCAGTTTTGTGACGTAAAAAAGCAACGCTCAATGACCAGACGAAGCGCTGTTTTTTACAGCGCTAGACCAGAAAACGACGCTGTGGAGGGATCTATGCGGGTTTTGGCTTTGGGAATTCAGAAATGGTGATTTTAAAGCAGCGTCTGCTGATGTCATTTTCACCTGAGTTACAACCAATCAGCATGAGTTAACCACAAGCCCCGCCCAGGGACTGTACCAGGCCATTTCCAAGTTTACCTCACTACAGGTACTCGGTTGGTCCCTGAAATGGCCCGGAAAGAGGTCCTGTCGGGCCGGCCTGGTAAGCTGTGGAGACCCACACAAGGTCGGTAGTTCCGATGGTGGAGACGGGTGTATAGCTGTTGTGCTACTGCTTCCCCAGATGCACCTCTTCAGGCGGGCAGCTTGCACCAGTTTTAAAACCCTTGTTTAACTTGCATTTCAGTTTCATAATAAATTGGATATATTGGCTTATAAAAAGCAAAACATTTAAAGGGACACTTAGCAATTGTTTTCATATTTTAAAATCAGCTTCTTGTGCTAGAATGTCCTAAAATGACCCTTTACCGGGTTAACGAAAGGCCACCCAGCCCCCATCGCCCTCTGTGGCCAGAATATCCCACTTGCCGCTTCACGGTTGTCGGTCCGGTCTGTTGGACTTTGAATCAAATGGAGCTGACATACCTGGCGCTGAGGTCTGGCTCCAGCAAGTTTCCTGCATGTTTTAGATCACGAACATAGCTGATTTGTTTAATTTTGTGATGAATCACTCCTGTAGACACTAAGGAAGACTGGGAGACGTTCAGCTGTTAGATTAAGGTGTTAAAAGACGAACTCGGAGACGAGATAGGTTTTGGTTTGATTTTTTTTTGCAAGTGAAAAGCATTTAATCAGTGTGCATTTCGAAGACTCTAACCAGAACATTAACTATGGTTATTTTCTCCAGTTTATGATTTCCAAGTGCACAGATTTATTCCCTCTACCAAGACATTAATACATTTTAAACCAACTTTAGCATAACAAAGCATTTTGCTCCTCTTTCCTTGCCTCTGACTAGTGCTGCCTTGATTTGCTCCCATGTTATATTTATGACCAACACACTGTTTCCTGGGCACGGTCTGAGGATCGCCTTCTACCTGACACACGATTAATCCGGAATAGCACAGGACGAGAGAAAGGGATTTGCTGGTGCTCACTGCCGTCCGTCCAGAGTTTTAAAAAATGATCTCATTGGATACTGGATGGTGTTCGCAGTGCGCAGGCCTATAAATCTTCTCAGTAGCTGCATTTGTGTCCTGTAGATCAGCCATTATTGTCCAGCCCTTCTGTCAGCCCATCCATCCTTCTACCATTTATCAGAGATGCTTCCTGGAAGTGGAGAGGAAGGGAGAGCGACAGAGAGAGACCGTGCTGTCAGGTGGAGAAACGCCGGGTCTGTTGTGGTCAAAAGTGCAGGAGTCCACTTCTCTTTAGAACAAAAAGGAAAGCTGAAACTTTTTTTCTGATATTCACTTCCTAGTAATCTCTTGAAGTATTTTGGTGTTGTTCTTTTGCATCACTATCCACATGGTAAACATGTGGGTACTCTAAGGCTTCTCTTGTAGTTGGCTAATGTAGTTTATAGAGATCTGGAACACTTTGTTCACATTAATCACTGATAAATAATCATTAGTTAACGGTGAGAAACAGAAATCTGAGCCAAATCTGTTCAGCTCTAAAGTTTAGGTAGAGTTACGAATATTTCACATTAGTAATGAGCATCTGGAAACATTTACTTTAACATTGTGCTTTATGAAAGAGAATCCCGTTTTACTTGTTTTTAAAAATGAACAGTCTGAGTTTTCCATGCAGGCTGAACATGAAAGTTGTCTTCCACCCCCATTTCCTGTATTAACTTCTGATGGACAATAGACAGAAAGACGCTCAGAGACAGACCTAGGTTAAAAATAAACATCCATAGACTCGCCTATCTTGACTTGTGACGGGGAAGGCTGTTGTTGGTTTATCATCCAGGAAACAGTAGAGCACATCTCTGCTAGTAAAAGCTAACCATTAGCATTAGCACCTCCACCACACAGCAA